TTTCCAACGAGACTTACGTTTCGTGCACGTCGATGAAAGAGCACTTCGATCGAGGGCTATCATTTCCGTGCGATATAAGAAGTTATAATCGATCAAGCTCCGTGTATAAGGGCGTCACGGAACACGAGCCGAATACTTCGCAGAACTTTCGTCGCTTGCGTTATTGCTACGCGAAACGAAATTTTCGTGGAAAAATCGAGTATGAATTGAAAAGCGACGAATCGCGAGGCGCTGGCGCGTGAGAAATGTTTAATAGCTAGGGAAATTGTTATTAAAAGTACAAACGCGTCGAGTGTGTTACGGTACGTTCCACGGTGCAGTCCTCGGTGACGACTATTCGCGAACGAAAGAAAGAATAAATAATAATAGAAATTATGTTTAAAATAAAATAAAATTTCTGAACGGTAAAAGTAAAAGTAAATTAGAAATTTCGCGAAGATTTAAAATTGTTTAATCGTGGTACGCTCAAGCTGGCTTAATTGTCGGTTAAGTGTATAGTTTTAACGGTAAGAATAGGGTCGGATGCGACCCCACATTGAGAAAAATTTATTTGTGAAATATCAGGTTTATCTCATAAAAACAAATGTTTATTTAAATACGACGAAGTAACATTTTATTCCTAGCAAATAAACCAATTAATAAGAAAACTTCGGTAAATTTCACAAAAATTATATATTCCGTCATCATAGTCAAATTTTTTTTCTAACCAATAAATACCAAAGAAAACGTCACGAGAAATATTCGCTAAATTTCAATTTCTTTTTCTTAATGTGCACGTGTTGTTTCTTTTTTCTTAAGGAATGTTTCGTGTTATTATTTACTTCTTTTAACTATTTGGTGCATTGTTTACGAGAACAATGAACAAAACAAACCATAGGGCCGCATCCAATCACATTTTCTCCGATACGTTGAAAAAAACGTGCTATTAGAATATTAAACATTCAAAAACTCTATACAATTTTTTCCTATTTTTTTCCGCGGATTTTTCCCAAGGAAAGAAAACTTACCACATTTACTTTTTCCTGTAAAGAAGACAAAAAGCCGAAAAAACCCGCGGGAAATGGGGGAAAAATCGGTGTGTCACCGAGTTTTCAAAACTATAACTTAAGTAAAACCGAAGCGGTTGACTTTTGCACTCTTCGAGGCTACTGAAGCCTTCAGGTGCAGTAACGTCCGGCGAATCCGGTTCTAATCGGCCACCCGTTATCTTTTGATTGATGGAAAAGCCCGTTGCGGGGAATGTCGCGGCATCGCGATGCATCGTGCCGCCATTTAGAAGGGAAACTCGCTCGGCTCGAAAGGAAGGGGGCAGGGTTATAGAAGCGCGCCGGAAAAATTCTCCTTTGGGTCCCGACCAATGGATGCCCGGCCCGAGGAACCTCGATGAAAAACTCCCGAAGGGAAAGGGTCGTGGGTCCGTTCGACTGGTTCCGGATACGTTTCGGCGGTGCGACGCGATGGCCGAGGCTGCATCCGCGCTGCATAATTCGAACAATGGACGAATGCAAGATCGACAAAAGGATCCAAGGAGCTCAACGGACATGGGAAACGCGAGCGGCCGACGTGCACGACGGGAACGTGGTCGACTTGGATGAACGTCTCTCTCTCTCTTTCTCTTTCGTGCAAGACGGCCCATTCAGCGCTGGAAAAGTTCTCGACGGTTGCGGTCAAAGGCTCCGCCCAGACGAAAAGCTTAAAGAACGCGACAAAATGGTGGCGTCACAATGACTTAATGTTTTTCCTCTCTTCTCTCTCTTTCTCTCTCTCTTATTAATAAAGACATGAGAACAAAGTTAACGGCTGAATGTATTGCAGCGACGGCAAAGGACAATCGAATCGTTCATTTCCCGGTGAGCACCGGTAACGGTCCGTCGCGCAAACTATCGGGGACAGACTTCACGGACGATGCGAGTGCAAAAATGTCACAGACCTCGGTGAGACATCGATCGGTGATCGCTCGTTGACAAGGTGCTGAAAAAACTTGCCGGAAGCGGGCGACGGAAATTGAGAAATTCGGCGAGCGTTTCCCAACAGAAGCCGCGTCTCCTCGCGGAGAAGGAAAATGGTCATCACCGAGAGGTCTGCCAACGATGAGGATCGTCATCGTCGTCGGAAGGCGACGGTCGTTGAGAGACGGAACTGAAAGGCGGAACGGGAGACGCCGTGGCGCGCGCGACGATGACGGAGCCGGACGGCCGTCCAACGCGACTGTGACCTTCCGCGGTCTACGATCTCGTTAGCCTAACCTAGGACACTGCCTCTCGCGTTTCTTCGGCCTCGTATGATCAAGCGTGTCGATAATACGCTCCGCGTAACCAGAGAGAGCGGCAGCTCCCTGACCCCGCGATAATTTTTCACCGATAATTTTTTTCTCTTATCGGGATATTAAATTCGGGGTATCGTTGAGGAGTCTCGAGTAGGCGGTTTTCGCAGATCGGAAATTGCGCTATCTCTCTCTCTCTCTCTCTCGCTCTCCCGATCGAGAATATCTCACCAGCGTCTGATTCGAACGCAATGTTACCAACGGTCACTCAGGTTAACCTGCATCATTCCTGGAGCATTTCCACTCCGTATCTCGCGTTCTCACGGCAAATAGGATAATAAATGGCGCACATTAATTGCGAGCAAAAGAAGAGCTAACTCACGTTAACGACGTTTCCGCCGAACATCGCGCATCGCCGTCCTCGCAAGTCAAACGCCGAATCTTCATGCGAGACTTCGATACGACAAGTCCGCGCGGGGTGATCGCATGAGGGGACGCGATTTTCGATCGCGATGCTTCCCCATGGAAAATCTCGCGACGCGCACCGTCGAGCGATCGGCGGCGTGCATACACGTCACCGTGCACCGCGCGGATACACCGTGAACGTGTTGCCGGCTGCGCGACCGGCAGCAACGGTGGCGGCGACGACGGCAGCGGAGACGACGGCACTAGTAGCTAAGTTCACTTGAATCTTTTACCTCGGCTGTGTTCACGATCCACCGGCGGTCCCGGCGGTGCGGCGTCGAGATACGTCCCATCCAGCGGGGATTCGCCTATCCATCCGCGTCGGCGAATCGAAGCGGCGCGCTGGCAGGAAAAGCGACGCGCAAATATATATATGTATATATATACGTATGTATATATATATACATATATATATTTCTATATATCTCTGTCGGGCACGTCGAGTTCGTACGTACGTCAGGTCGCCGCTCTCCAAGAGATCACTGCCCTCACGCACACCCGGGGCTTTCTCTCGTTCCTTCGAGCAGAGCGCGGACCGCGGGGGCCAGTAACGTATCGCGAAACGACCGGAGCCACTTACCGAACCACTACCGATATATTCGCGCGGCCGACGCGCGTAGGCAGCCGCGTAGTCCGCCGCCGAGGAAGATGACAGACCGGCTGTACCGTAACGCGATTTCCGGCCTGTTACTACGAGCGCCCGGCAACAGAGAGAAAGAAGGAGACTGACTGACTGTATGTGTGTTTGAGAGAGAAAGAGAGAGAAAGAGAGCGAGGAGACAGACAGAAAGGGGAAGAGAGAGAGGAGGAGAGGTAGGGGAGGGGGAGAGAGAGAGCATGTAGAAACGGCACGAGATTCGCGTCGCGGGGAGCGGGTTAGGCCACGGAGACGTCGGTCGAGAACGCGGGGAGAGCAACGCGCGACAGGATCCGAGAGAAAAAAAGAGAGACTGATTCGCGCACATCAGTGGCGGTCCGGCGGACGGATTTTCGCGATTTCGAGACGCGAGAGACGCGTGTCACCGCTACGGGGATACGGCGGACGGAGTGACGCGCGAAGCCGCGTGAAAAATCGCCGGACTACGGTCAGACGACGCACACACGAGACTTTTCACGGCCGATCGCCCCTCTGGTGGCGGCCGGCGAGACGACCTCGCGAATATCGCGCGGCGCGACCAGACGAGACGCACGGCGGCGGCGGCGGCACGTCGACTCCGCCGGACGACTACTCGGCTTCGCCGGCCGCCGCTCCCGTTCCCGCTCCTGTCTCGTTCGATGAACGTGTGTGTATGTGCGCGCGCGCACGATGCAGGCGTATGCGTTCATCGCGAATTCGCCCGGTAGACCGGTTCGCGCGATTCGCTCGCGCCGCTCTCGGCTTTTCGATCGGACGCCGGCCGAACTGTTGCGAGGACTTGGGATGCAAGGGGGAGAGAGGGAGAGAGAGACAATGAGGATTACCATGAGACGGAGAGTTGAAACTTCGCCGTGGTACTTGGCGCTCAGTGCGTGCACGCGTAGGTTCTTCGGTATATGCGCATTTATACAGTCTGATATCTGAGATACGCGCGAGGACGAGCGAATGCGGCTGATTGAAACGCGCAGCGGCGAGCGAACGTAACGCTACTGCCATCTGTGCGACACCGCGGGAACCTTGATTTCGCGAATTGATCGACGAACCGAAACCGCAGTGTTCCTCGGCGAGAGAGCGTTCAGCGCAGCCAATCGCAGGAGGGAATTGCGCTTCGTCAGATGAAAGCGCGTCCGGTCGTGATCTCGCGTTGTTACATCGATAATTTTGTCCTTCCTCTTCTCTACTGTAAAGTTGACGCAACATTCCCCAATCAATTCCTCTTCTCTTTCGTAGTATGCTCTACTTTTATTGTTTTTTGGCATGTATAATACGTATAATAATATATATTTATTATATTCGTCAATATCGAATATATATATATATTATTTTATTTTCTCTTTCCATAAATTATATAATAAATAACTCTTGACTGTGGTTATTAAACAAAATATTTTACAAAAGTAAATAGCTGTACGTCGCCACGTGTTCAATGAAGAGTGTGTGTTTGTATGTGTGTCTCTGCGTGTGTGAGAGAGAAAGAGAGACGTGTGTGTGTGTGTTACTACTAGTCTATTCAAAAGTAACTAGACATCTGAAGCGCTTACACGCGTGTGATCTTCGACGATTTCATTATCGTGTTTCCTATAAAGATCGAAACGGTGGGTTGATTTGTTCTTTCGTCATGCAATTAAATCAAGAGACGGATATATCGTTCTATTTCAAACAGAAGTGTAAGTCCTACCGCAAAACATTACATAAGATAAAAATAAGAGAGAAGGACGAATAAATAATTTTGTATATATAGATTAAATTTGATTCTCTCCATCAGCGGAAATAATTTTTTCATGTCGAAGCGTATGTATATATACATATGTATGCATGTATGTACACATATATATGTTATATATGCATATACGCACACACTGACACATGTCCGTATAATTCTGATGTATATATACCGGATCGTGTGTATAATTCTGATATGTATACATCAGAATAATGGGAACGCGTAAATCTCTTCTTTTATAAAAGGACGTGACACACATGCGACGTTATGTCAAGAAACATATTGCGGGAAGAGACACGATTATCGCCAAGGCCACGATGCACCCGATTACACCCGACGTTGATACGGATCGTACTCAGTGATCCTCTCTCGTTTCTTTCAGTGTTTAGTCGCTTTTCAATACCAGATGACAGACTTTACTAGGCTGGGCTGAGGTATCGAGAGGCAAGATGGTTGTTTTACTTCTAGGCAATGGCGTAAGGTTACAAGTGAGAATTGTGAGGCTGCTGTTCGTAGAACAGTACGTAGGCTTCACTGGAAACGACCGACCGTGCCGACACTACGGACACCCGGCTGTCGTTATACTCGTGCCATTCTCCCGAGTACGGGTGCTTGCAGTACGCGGTGTAGTGACCGGAGTACGTAGTACCCGAGTGATTCGCGACTCCGTACAGATTGTATGTACAGCCCGGAACTTTCGGGGCAGCAAAGGCACTGAGATCCAATCCCGTCAACGGAAAGTCCACCATCACGTTCAGCTTGCCGCGGAAACGCTCCATCGGGGAGAACCGTTTTAAATCTAATCATCAGCGGCCCGTTAAGGAAAATCTCTCTCATCTCGTTATAACTACGATCCTTCGGTGAAACGAACAACGTTCCACACGAACAAAACCGACATTGAACAGCTCCATTTGGAAAGGATACGAATAACCAGGATTTTCGGGAATTTCTGTATGCTGAAGCTCTTGGTGCACTTTCTCCTCATCTGACACTTGGAACATGTTGGTTTTTCGTCGCCATCCAATACCTCCTCTCGCGTGAAATGCTCTAAGCACTGACTCAGCTTCACAGTGCCGCTCCTGGCTGGTATCGGCAGACTCAGATCCCAGAACGGATCGAGCGTGACCGACACGTGATCGCAGGAGGTGCAGTGCAAGGATGAACGTAACTGCCCCACGAAGACGTCCACTATCATACTGTCCTCGCTACGAAGATATCGCTTCCAGCTCTCTACCGCTTTCTGCGTCTCCCTGCGTGGAATAACATCGTCAAATTCGTCGCGAGGCGAGCGTTAAACAAAAAAAAATGTTGTGTTAAATTTAACACATTTCCCAAACGGTCCGCTCAAATGTTTGTGTTAATTTAACACGAAGTGAGTATGTTGAAGAGTAACACAAATATTATGACAAAAATTAATACGAAATTAATACGTTAATCGGCACTGAAGTGTAAATTAATGTTATTTTAACAGTTACACATGTTGAATATCGACACAACACAAAATGTGTTGAGATAACGCAAACACAATATGTTAAATTAATACAAGGATGTTAAGAATTTAATGCAAAAATTGTTTAACAAGGACCGACTTTAACACAAGTAATAAAATGTTTTTTACTGTGCGTATGACATATAAATTGCTCCCTCACGAGTAACTGTCGGGTATGTCTCCGTGTATTGGTGCCAACTTCGTGGTGACTCTGTTGACGTCCTCATGCAGACCCTCGAGCAAGTATCTAAGGAACTCTTGAGCGTCCTGCTGACTGTAGCCCATGAAACGCGGCGCGAATCTCTGTATCTGAGACTTGAGCGAGGTCGTGTTCACCACGTGATCACCGCCCACCTCCCACAATTCGTGGATCACTTGGCTGAACGCTTTGATGAGGGCGCCTTTCATGCTGGACGTGCTGGTATTTATGTCGGACAGGTATTGCTCGTTTAGCAGGTACTCCAACAGAGGTCTCGTGTTGCTCAAACACTGGATCACGCTGTTCATGAAACACTGAAACGATCGCATGACGCAGTCAGTAAAGTATACCATGTGCCGAAAGCTGGATATCATCGGCTTTCTTTCAACGACCAAAGTATCGATCATTGGTCTCTTCTTTTTAGCTAAACTGGCTGCACTAGTTGAAGAAATGTATAACATTGAAGAAAAATGGTTACGTTCCAAATATTTATTAAGAATTATTAAAGTAGTTTATTTTATTTAGATTAAATAAATATTACTTGAGAATAGCAAATTTTCTTCTTTCAGTGTGCTATATTCAAGTAATTAATATTTACTTAATCCAAATAAATTATCCCAATACTCCTTAGTATTGTAGCAAATATTTACTTGAACATAGCATCTTTTTCTTCAGTGTATATTTTTTAAAGCATATTAAGCACGACATTGTCACACCTCACTGTGCGTAAATTTCTTGAACTAGTGCAGTNAAAAAAAAAAAAAAAAAAAAAAAAAAAAAAAAAAAAAAGATGGCATGTAACTTTTCTCCTAGGGCAGAAATGTGAAAAATGAAATGTTTTCAAAATAGAAAATTCACACTTTTCTCGAGTTCACATTAAAATAGAAGATTTATGGTCCCCTGGATGTTCATTCTTCTCTTCCAGCGTGGAATTCATAAAAAGCGTAAATTTTCTATTTTGAAAACATTTCATATTTCCATCTTAGGGGAACAAATGATATAGAAAAAAACGAATGTACGATAAAAAACTTTGTGTAAATAACAGTCCACTGAAATTTATGTTGCTTTAACATGGAAATATGTTAAAAAGTGCATAGATATATGTTACTATTATTCACCTTGTCAATATATTATTTTTTAATATATTCACTTATCATTGAAACATACGGAAATTTCAGCGGGCCATTGTTTACACGAAATTCTTTACCGCGTACATTTCACGTGAAAAACACACGTGCACTCACTGTATTTCCAATATTCCGTAAGCCGTTCAGACCGCATCGTTCGTCGCGGTAAGCTTGCAGACGGTTGCGCGCCGATCTATTGGTCGGACTACCTTCCTGGAAATCATGAAATCACCATTTTCCATAGCTGTACAGATCGCCGTCCAGATTGCTGACTATCAATTAAACGGGAACGTATGTAGTCCGTATCATCGTTCGCAAAAACTACCGTTGTCTTGAATCGTCTCTTCGCTTCAAGAATAAGATATCCGTGCAATCGTCTTTCTCGATCGGCGAGAGTATCGTAAATCGCTCGATGATAAGCGGGAGTGCGATGGGGGGGGGGGTCAGGCTGATATTTCGCAGGAAAATACAAAACTCACGTCACACGCGCGTCGGTTTAGTAATTATCTTGTTAGGCACACAATGGAAGACCGAGATGATGGAGGAGCGTCACATACACACGCACATAGGCAAACAGGTGATCACCGGGCGTTAGGTAATCGCGAAGACACAAAGCTCCGCTCGATTGCGATCGGCAATCACGGCGATCGGCAATAAAAATACACGGCCTTGACGTGTTCGCGATCCTTCGGATACTCACCTGCGAGTGTATAATCGAAGACCGAGCGAGCGGGGACGCGGAGGAAAGTACCGGCGGATTACTGGCGCGCACCGAACAGACCTTTGGCGAGGCTATAGGTTTGGGGACGTTTGTTAAAGGCGTCGTGAAGCCCAGGAGGAAGGCGTAAGCAAACGCAAAAGTTATCACTATCCACAAACACCACAAGCCCCATCCTATCACTTGGGTGAAAGCCAGTTTCCTCGGATGCGCGCGCGAATACCGTCCGCCGAAGCGACGTCCCGAGCAGAGGAGATCCGCGACTGATGCGACGCCGGGATCGCTCGTCCCGACGCACGAACGACGTCCGCACGCGATGCGTCCGTTTTAATCATTCACGTCGACGGAAAAGAAGAAAATGCAACTTCACCGGTGGCGGTGTGCTTACGTGGCTGCCGTGGTGCACGTATTGATGCACACGTTTTGTCCCACGCTTGTTTTCACGAATACAAAGTAAGAGCGCCGATGAGCGCCCGGACATATATCTAAACCTCGACACGTTCTCATTATTTTGACCTTTAAATATGAATATGTAAACTCTCAGCGTAGAATATACGTATACAGGGTGTCCGGCGTAAGGAGAATACCTGTGATCTGTCGCTTTTCACTGAATTAGTGTACACTTAAAAAGAGATGTACAGTTAAGACTCGGCGGAATAAAGAAGAGAAGGGAACCAGCGCGAGCTAGTGCAGCCGGTTCAATGAGAAGGAACGAAGTTAAAAAAGAAAAGAAATAAAAAAAACCGTAAAAAATTTGCCTCCTATGGTATTCCTCCTTCGAAATCATTCGAGTGCTCCAAATATTGCTCATATCATTAAAAATGAAGATGTTCAGGTGTTGTTACGGGGACATCCTGTATATTAAATGTATGTATATATTCATGATATATATTCATGTGATCGAAGTTTAGATAAATAACGACCAAAACAATAAGAATGTCCAGGTTCAGGTGCGCGTCCGGATATTGGTACTTTGCCTCACCGAGCACAACAATCCGACAGGATATTGTATTTTCGCGGGAACGAGCGATACCGGGGCTCCACCACGCAACTTCACGGCTCGATCACCGAGACGCGACGAGAGCTCGCGGTAGTTTTTTGTTTCTTTTTAAAACGCAACGGGCAATTTGGCAAACTCGGGCGCTCCATCGATACCGACGATCCGTCGCACGATCATGACGAGACCAGGTTCGCTTCAATTGTCGCGTCCCCGCGAGAACTGTTCCTCCGATCGATACGATCGCGAAGAAAAAGAAGAGAAGCATGCGGACGCTTCGAGTCTACCGTAGCTTACCACGGAACACTGTTGCAAGTCCACCGACAACGTGCCTCGGTGTCCCGAAGAGCTCGGGTGGGAGAGCGAAGAAGCGAGAAAGAGACAGAGAGAGCTCTGGGCTATTAATAAAGCGCAGCAATGCCCGCGACTCGCGACTCGCGAGGCGACTTTAGTTGGAGACGGAGCGAGGAGATTTCGTAACCGGACCGGCAGGAAGTGAACGAGTCGCGTGTTCGCAGCGGCGTAGTTCTTCCCCGAGAACATCGGCGCGCCGAGAGCCACTGACCTTGCGCGTCAACAAATGAACGGGGAGGCTAAACGACGCGTCCGCGGCAACCGAGTTCCCGAGTTGCGGGCGCGTCATTTGGCGACTCGCGAGGATCGTCGACGCGATTACAAACAACACAGACGTTGGCGCGCACGAGCGTCGTCCGAGCTCGACGCATTCCGCGCGGAAAAGGACGCGCGAGGGTCGAAACCTTCCTGGCTCGAGACGACGATCGAACACCCCCCTGCGAGCCTGCCGAAGCGTATTTTCATCGATGAGGGCATACGTTATACTCACGTTGTCCGTGCTAACTGTTGCGAAGACCATGATTGCGTACTTGCTACCGGCTCCGACGTCTCGCGAATGCAGGCCGCGCAGCATCGACCGACGTGCAATCGTGCCGGTAAAAACGAAGCGATGGGGAAATCTCGAGGACGGAAGGGGAAAATCGCGCGGGAAAGCGCGAGATACCGCGTCGGTCCATGCTGGGCCGCCGCGTCGTCATATCTCTCTTACAAGCGCACTCACGTATTGCTCGTTGCCACCGCGGTAGAGACTGTGGTGCGTTGGATTCGTTGTCGGTGACGAAGTCAGGCTGCCCGTGGAGCTGTTCGCGGCCGTTGGGAAGAGACCAGGCTGCTCCGTTCTCCTCGAGGTCGAAGGGATGGACGACGAGGGCTCGTCACAGTGAGTGACCGACGGCCTACCGCTCACACCGTTCTGCAGGACCGGCAATGTCGCGGTGATCGCGGCGCTGAAGCCGCCCTCGGCCATGCTGTAAGACGCGCCTCTCCTCTCCTCGTCGCCATCTTCGTCTCGTTCGCCGGTCGCCGTGCTGCGACCATCTTGCAGGAACGTGGTGATCGCGTCGATCGACGTCGAGCGAGCGCCGTCCTCGTCCTCGGGAGCGCGTATTACCTCGTCGTCGTTGTTCGCCGCTTCCTCCCCTCGCGTCGCCTTCTTCTCCTGAGCGTTGTTATTGATCAGCAGCTCGGTGTTACGGGGATTAGTCGCGAGGTTAGTTAACAGGTCAAGCCTATCGCCGATCAAACCACCACCACCGGTGGGAGAGAGGTTACGCTTAGCGGGTGAGACCTCGTCGGGTCGGCGGTTGCGTTGCTGGCGAAGGTGGTGATGGTGGTGGTGGTGTTGTTGTTGTTGTTGACGGTTGCGTTGCCGGCTGTTGCGATTGTCGTCGTCGTCGTCGTCGTCGTCCTTGTCACCGTCCTCGTCGTCGTCGTCGCGCTCGTCGTCGTTGTTGTTAACGCCGAATCCACCCTCGGCGGCGGCGCCCTTCCCGTCGTTGCCGAGGTTGCCGTTGTTGTTATGCTGATCGTCGTCGCCGTTAACGTCCTTCGTAACGTCGCCGTCGTGATCGTCGTCTAGCTTACGGCTAACGTGATCGTCGATGGTTACCTCGGCGAGAGACGCGGCGCTGTCCGCGCGTGCATGCCCGCTGGTGAGCAGCGTGCTGCTCGCAGGTGGTCTCCTCTTGGCGGATCTCGACCACAGACCCCCGCCGGTGGCGGCGGACGAGGTGGAGGACGACGAGGAGAGCGAGGACTCCGGACGGTCCCTGCGCTCGACCAGCTCGCGCTCGTCGCCGCCGAACAGTTCGCTGAGGGACGACGAGGTCGAGCGGTGCTTCCAATGGTGGGCGCCGCCAGTGCTGGCCGATTGACGGATGTTCGGCACGTAGCCGGCCGGGGAGTACCTGCTGATGATGTCGGCCGCAGTCTCGACGTTGCGCTCCCTCGACGACGAGGTGCTCGACGTGGAGGAGCCGCTGTACCTGCCGCCGCCGGTGCCGTTAGCCACGACGCTCGCCGCCGACGTCAACGACGAGCCGCCCGTTTCGCCGTACGACGACGACGAGACTGACCTGCAAAATTGCGATCCAACGTGAATAATATCGCGGCCATCTCGACCGCTTCCGCCGAGCCGGGCCCGCGGCCAAGGGCTCTCCTCTCCCCTACCCCGCGTCGTTATGCAACGCGCCGCGCGAGTATAGACGTTCCGCTGCTCCTCTCCGAGCGCTCGGCTTGAACGAGAGAGAGAAACTACTTGCGCACGCTCAGGACGCCGTGCTCGCTACACACACACACACACACATTCCGGTTTCCGCCAGCGGCGAGAACCCGGATGGAACTACCGCTCTCTTCTCGGGGGTTTCGCTGCATCAGACCCGACGACGCGCACCCGGACGGGTATATGCCCTCGGGGAAGCCGGGATGCACGCGCGACGCGTGTGAGAAGCACGCGAACACGTGGGGGTGTTCTCTTGAAAAGAAACGGATGGAGCGTTATCTAGCAATAAGGTCAAGGTCTGCGGCCGACTACGGTCCGTCGTGTGCGAGCTCGATTATTTAAAATCGATAAATATGGCCACACACGCTCTCTCACCCACGATGGAGATAATAGCCGCGGGTCTCTCGGCGATACACACACCCACGCGGGGTTACACGTCGCACGCGCCGCCAAGTTTCACCGAGTCGGCCCGACGGGGAATCGAGATCGCGGCACGACGACCGGATAGGATCCGCTTTGACGAGAGCGGCCGTGAGGAAGGGATGAGACTATCTCGACCCGGAATAACAGGTAGCAGGCTTTAACGCGACCTCGACCTTTCACTGCCGGGCTAATGCCAGTTACCTAGGTCATACGAACGGCACGTACGTGTGTATATGTGTCTATGTGGCTGTGTAGATACGTAAGCATTATCTTGTCTTTGTAATTGGATTGATTACAGTGACGCAAACGAAGCTGGTAAGCGGCGTTTTTTTCGCGAGATAAGCGTAGGCACTTGCTGACGATATTCCTATCAGAGAAGAAGCCGCACGGCGTCGTTGAACATCGTCGAAAACGCCAGAATGAAACGACCGTCAATTTCGAAGCGTGAGGTCAGAGCTGAGCGGTAACGCGTCACTTGTAATACACGAGGAAAGTATCGTGGTAAAAATTATCACAAAATTATATAATGCTGGATCGTACCGGGATTATCATTGAAATTATTGTATGCTGTAAGTGACGTGTACACGTGAAATATATCACTGAAGATTACAAAACACATAATAATTTCAGTCATAATTTCAGTATGATCCAGTATTACAAAATTTTGTGGTAATTTTTGTTACAATATTTTCTCCTGTAAGGATCTCTATAATAAGAGTTTGGACACCGTCGTTATAGTCACCACATTTAGGTTAAAACTAGAAGTTCACAGCCGTAATACGAGAAATGTTCAAACATCATTAAAATAGGTGCAAAACTCACTTTTAACACACTTCGTAAACGACAAATCTTTGCTAGTGTTGTCACTCAGCTGACAAGTTTGACGTCATCTCAACCGAAAGTTTACTCAAACATAGCGGAGCCAAACAGAAATCAGACATACGGTATGCAGATTCTTATTATAGGGACTTGAACTTGTAACGCTGTCACCGTTACACCGTTACTTTCTCTTTCTTCCGTAACGACTTGATAACGACGTCATTTAGTCAACGTAATGTCAAGGTTGTAATGCAGCTTGTAACGCAAATGCGTTTTTAAGTAACTATAACGAGCATAACAGTTACTTTTATCATCATTTCGCACATGTACATGGGATGGACGATAACGAATCATAAAAAAATAGTCTTGAGAACTCAGCGAGAAAGGTAATGGAAACTGTAACGACTCGTTACTGCGACGAATCACTTTCGAAAAGTAACTTTCCCGATGCATAAAAGTACACAGAGGAAAAGATTTTTCGGGTTTAATAAAATTTCTTTAATTGAAACAAATTTGCTTTTTAAAATAGAGCAAATAAACAAATGTTTAATTCAATAACAAAATCATTTAGTTTTTCAAATAATAAATATCTTTACGTTAAATAACATGTTTCTTTTGTATTTTTTATCCAAATATTATCATGGTTGTCACAAACGATAAAAAGTATTAGAAAGAAATAAAGAAATAAAAAATAAATTATGTTATAAAAATATTAAAGAACTTCTTTTTTCGTTACAAACAATATTTAATAACAATATTTAATATATAATGAAATACATTTTTCTATTGAAAATAAATATTATTTCCTGTAATCAAACAGCAGGTTTTACTTTAGTGAAACATTAATATTTTCACTAAAACAAAATAATATTTGATATTAAATTATATTATTTATATTAAAACGCAAACCCAAGTCAAACGCGTATGCTAAATCCCAAGAAACTTTTTCCCCGTGTACAGAAACTACGATCTTAATCGCATCCCGGCGAGAACTTCGATATTCACGTCCACGTTCCTATATATCTCCTGACTTCAATCGTCGAACTTCCCCCTTTCTTTCNCCCCCCCCCCTCTCTCTCTCTCTCTCTCTCTCTCTCTCTCTCTCTCTCTCTCTCTCTCTCTCCGTTTTACTACGTATCTAATTTCACCGTGGAAAAGTAATTTTGCAAACTTATCGCGAGGAAACGAGCGTTCCCGGCGCTGCTCGTTATTCAAGTCGCCGAAGTGGGCCGCGGGAGTATTATCGACGCCTAAATCTCGACTGCCGACTCCACGTGTGCATTGTGAGGAGAAGCGTCTCGTATCTCGCGATCGTCGCGATCTCACGCCCTGCGCCCTATTTCGGGGGTGGGAGGGTGCGGAGGC